CCTTCTCACCACAATCAAATGCAAAGGCCTGCGGCATGCTCGAGGCGATCCGCCGCCCTACATGGGAACGGCGTGGAAATCTCCGCAGCACGGTTCTGCCAGAAACGTTTTCCTTCAATTCTCGCATCTACACAACTCTGGTCGAGGCTCCTGGACGCTTCCGAACTCCATCTGGGACCTCTCTGGAAACCGTATTGGCGCTTGTGCTGTCTCGGGGGCCGCTTTTGATCCTCTTGCACTGGCTTGGCCTATTGTTGGGGCACTGTTGGGCCGTCTCGGACCCCACTGAAGCCCACGAGTCGTGTTGAGCCGAGCACCCGAAAGAAGCTAAAACATGCAAATAACTTAATTGCTTTGACGATGTTGCCAAATATCGGGCTCCTCGTTGCGCCTCTTGGATCCCCCTAGTGAAGCCTCTGGTCAGACCCCTGGGACCTCTCTGACCGTCCTGAAAACGTCTTGGAACCATCTTGGGCCGTCTAGACGTCCTCTTGGCACATGAGCCAACTTGGACGCCCCGTCCCCAGAGGCCCTTCTATGGGTCCAGCACTGGTTGGAGCTGCTTCCTTCTTTTCCCTCTGCTTTCCAATATTATCATCACACACTGCTTCCGACTCCATAGCCTGGTGGGCCCTCCTGGGCCGGCCGGTTTCGGCGGTTGTTTGGGCCCTTTTTGACCGTCTGAGACCCCTCTCACGCCCTGTGCTATGTGCGTTGCCCCCTTATTCCTCCACAAAATCTCCCACAGACTGTCCGCAGTTGTCACACCTTGCCTCCTACGTTTCATCAACGCGACCACGTTCCAAAAACGTGGGGCCCTAGAATCTCCCGCACGAAGTGTTCAATACTTCTGTTATCTCTAGCTCGCGCGCGCCTGGCGGCCCCAGGAGGTCGCCTGGGGGGAAAGCTCGGCTACACGCAAGAGCGACTCTGTGCAAGAGTGACCCTTGAAGCGCGGCTTCGGGGAAGGCGGGCCAGCCCCAAGCGCGGAAACCGCTGCGATCGCCTTAGCGATCGGGGAGCCCAGGTGGGCCCGCACCACATGTCACTCGGGCGAAGGACCACTCTTTTCGCGTCTCCTATAAAATACCCCGGGCTCGTCCTGGTGTGAAGCTCCAGTAAAGTTCATCGCGGGATGCTGGAACTCCTGGGCGTGGTCTGTAAAGGTACAGCCGCCGAGCGGCCGCACTGCTTACTCTACCAACGATACCTCCAGGGCGCATCCCACAGGACCACTGGACCTGTAGATTGGCTTGACTCTGGCCGTCGGCGTCTTCGAAGTTCTGGCGGGGGAGTTTCGGGCTTCTTGGCTTTTCTGGTGCGGGGTCATGCCTCAGCAGTTCCAAACAGCCAAACCTCCCTGACGATGCGGTTGCAAGCCGAAGGCGACGCAGAGTGGAGCCGAGCAGCGCCGAGCACGAATGGAGGCGGCTCAAGGTCCCAGATCGGCCTTTGAAATCTGACCAAGCATCTCCTCCTTTCCCCCCTCCTCCTCCTCCTCCTCCTCCTCCGCCTCCTCCTCCTCCTCCTCTTCCTCCTCCTCCTCCTCCTCCTCCTCCTCCACAATTACTCAATATGAAAAGACTCTCCCTCTTCCCCTGATGGCGTCCGGGTGATGGCCGCGCACCCTCCGCGTACTGTTTTTTACACACAGGATTCCCGGGAAACCCCGGGAAACGACTCTCGCTGAGGCGCCGGCGTCATTTTTTCCCAAAATGCTGCTCTCGTTGAGGCGCCGGCCTCATTTCTGCTCCCGAATCGTTCCGAATCGTGCTCCCGCTGCAGCGTGGGCCTCATTTTCGGATCGGTGTTTGGCCTCCGTCGTTCAGGATGGCGTTCTCGCCCCAGCGCGGGCCTTTTTCTCGCGCGCCCATCCGCCCGCCACCACCGCGCCGCACCACCACCACCACCACCACCACCACCACCACCACCACCACCACCACCACCACCACCACCACCACCACCAACCACCACCAGCACCAGCACCAGTACCACACCACCACCACCACCACCACCACAGCACCACCACCACCACCACACCACCACCACCACCACCACCACCACGACAACCACGCACACACGCACGCACGCACGCACGTGCACCACCACCCACTACGCACGCGCGCGCGGAGCCACAGGTCCGCTACGACACGCGTCCGCGGATAGAGAAAATCAGCGCCATGGTAAGGGATGGGAGGGAGGGGTAGGACGTCAGATATGACGCGAGCGCACCTAGCTTGTCCTCCTCCCCCTCCCCCTCCCCCTCCCCCTGCCCCCCTCCGCCTCCTCCTCCTCCTCCCCCTCCCCCTCCACCTCCTCCTCCTCCTCCTCCTCCTCCTCCTCCTGCACGGGAACAAGAGCAGGGGCGCGGAGATGTCCTGGGTCGGCGCTGCACCCCCTGCTCTCTTGGCGCGCTAAAGCGGCGCCAGAGGCGGCGCCAGAGGCGTCACGAGGGGGCGGGAGGTCAGCGCCGACCCTAGAAATTCGCGCGGCCCTCCAATTAAGTGTTCCCCCGAACAGTGCCTGCACTCAGGGGCTCTCCTCTTGTCCCTACGTCCCCCAAAACCCATTGGTTTGCATTGCTGTTCATTGCTGTGCATTGCGTTGTATTGCTTCGCATCGCGTTGCATTATGTTGGCTTGCTCTGTTTTGCACTGCGTTGCGCCCCATAGTTGCACCACATGGATTGCACCACATGGATTGCACAACCTTTACTGCACCACATTGATTAAACCACCTATATTGCGCCGCATGGATTGCAAATCACTGCCTGGGGCCTACGCTGGCTAATATGTATGTTCATGCAGTATTTTGAATTATAAACTACTTCTTACTCCGCCCCAATCAACAACCAACCCTCCAACAAGCATAAGCGCAAGCTGGACAAGCCGAATACTGCAAGCACCAAGGGTTGGCACGTCTACAGAAACCGAGCGGTCAGTGGTATACAGTAGCCCTACCAGCAGAACAGGGGCCCACTTCGCGAGCCCGCTTCGAGCGGAGAACACATGCGGACCGACCGCAGTTCTGCCAGAACCGCCGACTGCATCTGCAGTCAGCCCATATAGTAAGAATGCGCGGCAAGGATACCGAGGGCCTTGGAAGGCCAAGTTGGTGTTTTCGAGTGGGGCTGGTCAGCGAAAGCGTCCAAGGATGAGCCGAAGGCGAAGGATGCAAGGGTAACCTTGGAAAGTCGCTCACCCTCACTATGCGGGTACACCTCAAAACCTACTCCACCAACGGCAGATCTCGTAATGACCTCGACTGAAGCGAGGACTCCACGCAAGCCGAGAGGACCTGGAGCGAGGCCGTGACGGAGAATATGTGGGACAGCCCAACCAAGCTGTCACTGCTCATCTCGGGAAATTTCGCGGTGGGCAGTGCACCATCCGCGAGAGGGAGAGTATGAGGGGCAACGTAAATTAGGGGGCATAGGTCCAGGGGGGAAAATCTCGAAAAACATCGACCTTGAATCGGCGATAGATCGCCGATAGATCGGCAATATGCCCCGATGATGAAACCCCACGTTCCTGGGTGGAGTAGACTATCGGGCCCCTGTCGGCGATGAAGGGGCGATTCGAGGTCGATGCATCCCCCACTTGAGCCCATCCCCTGGGCGATCGTTGCCCCCGAGCGTATAGAGAAGAAGGAAGAGGACAAGCTGCTCCAACCCGCAGGAGAGAGGACGCGCACCGTCGTTGGCGTCAAGAGCACGTGCCGCCATGCCTGTCACAACTGTCAGGCCGCAGGCCGAAGGAACTGATGAGAAGGAGCTGGGGAACAAACAATGACATAGGCATACAAACTCGGAGCTCCGAGCGGATTTCTTGGATCGGCGCTTGAGTCCCCTGGCAGCGCCTCCGGCGCCGCCTCTGGCATGCTCTGCGCGCCAGGGAGGGGGGTACAGCGCCAGTCCAAGAAATCCGCATGGATCTTCGAGCTTTTATGCTCATGTCATTGTCCGAGGGGAGTGGCCGAGTGGACCACTGACGCCTACAGTTTCGGCAGTCCACTGGCGACCACTGGTCCGAGGGGAGGGCCGCGCAGAAGGCCCAGTGAAGTTGTATGCACACATGGCGCAGCGACGGGAGAGGCGCGGCCAAGACGTGGCGCGCCATCCGATCGGACCGGCCGCGATCATGGCCTGGATCGACTGGGGCGTGGTGCAGTGATGCAACCCACAGCCGCGGATCCCAAGGATACCAGGATCTGCTGCCAGGATGTTGCGCCGTCCCTCTCGGGCGCGCGGGGAGGAGGAGGAGGAGGAGGAGGAGGAGGAGGAGGAGGAGGAGGAGGAGGAGGAGGAGGAGGAGGAGGAGGATGGAGGAGGGGCAGCCTGCAGGGGGGGTGATCCAGGGGGGAGCACTCAGCTGGACTCGGCGATGCATCGCCGATAGATCGGCGATGGGCCTCCGGTGGGGAACCCGCACGTTCTCGGGCGCGTTGGGCCATCGTCCCAAATCGGTGAGGAATGGGCGCTCGGGTTAGGTCGGGCATGTTCTCCTACAAGCAAATTTTGGAGGACAAATAAAATAATGATGCACAGAAAATACTCCTGCATTGTCAAACATGGTAAAACAAATTTCCCCTGACTATTTTGTTGACTATTTTTTGACCTTCCTCCTGTGGAGGGACGTGCCCGACTTAAGCGTTGGGCCATCGGGCCAAAAATCGGCGAGGAAGGGGCGCTCGGGGGGGTCGACGCGCTCCCCCCCCCCCCCCGAGCCTGGGCTCCGCAGCGCTGCCCCCTGGAGGCAAGAAGAGCTCGTCTGTCTATAGACGGTAGCGGCGCAGCACGACCCACTCGATGCCGCCAGCGCAGATGGTCGGGTGTTGCTGGAAGTGCCCCTGGCCCAAGGTGTCCCTAGGATCCTCGGGGTGGCCCAGACGGCCTCCAGAGCACCCCTCACGAGGCCCAGAGGGCCCCAGTGGCTCCAAAATGGTGCGAAAAGCTGGGGGGCACCTTAGGCCAGGGGCACTTCTTGCAAAGCCCGAAATGTTCATCGTGGGCGACCAGCACCGTCCCTGGATTTTGTACTGCTCACCTCGCGGCCACTCGCCTTGATCGTTGCCTTGGCGGCGCGCAGAGGGGGGCAGGGGGAGGGGGAAGGCTTCTTAGAAGGAGGCCAGTTCTTAGAAGGCGCCGGCCCTGCATCTACAGGGTAAGGCCCGCGCCCTCTCAGGACCAGGGGTGCTTCTGAGAAGCCTTCCAGCCTCCCCCTCCCCCCTCTGCGCGTGGCCAGTCGCCTTGGAGGTGAAGCTGGAACTCGCGGTCGCCTGTGCGCCAGGCCCACCGCCGCGAGCGGCGTCGCAAGACGTCGGCGCGCCCGCGGGCCGGCCCGGCAGGGCCGCCCCGTGCAGGCAGGTCCACGCGGCTGGCACCGGGACCTCACTGCACTGCGGCGACGCGGCCGCAGCCGGCACTGCCTCGGCGGGGTGGGCCACTCCCGACCCGTCGAGCGGGCGCACGTAGGGCAGGACCTCGGCGTCCCGGATGCGCCTGGAGCGCGCGCGGACCCACCTCGACATGTTGGCCTCCAGGCCCTGCGTCGTCGACAGCTGCACCCTCAGGGCGCGGCCGGCCCCGAAATCGGAAGCTTTCACAGCCTCGACGAACGCGTCGATCACATCCATGACGAAGAAGTTGATGAACATCTGGCCCGTGCTCTTCCGCGTGTGGAAGCACCGAGGGACATAGAGGTAGTCGTAAGTGTCCTGGAAGCCGCTCGAGTCGAGCCAGCGCAGCAGCTGCGACTTCGTGCAGTCGGGACCAACGTTGTCAATGAAGAGCGTCATCTCGCTCTGGTGGGACACCTGGGCAGCGAAGTACTGGATGCGCTGAACCCTGACGGTGTAATCCGTCATCGCTAGTAGAGGCCGCCCAAAAGGGGCCAGACTAGCTGGGATGGGAGGATCGTGCAGCACCGCCAATGCATCGGCGACGCATCGCCGACGTCCGTCGCGTGTCGGCGATACATCGGCGACGTCTGACGTGTACAAAAACGGGTTCGAAATCGAGTTGTATCGCCCATGCATCGGCGATGCGGCGCGATCCTCCGACCCCACCTGCCCTGGCCACACCTGGGTGGCCTGGAGCTTGAGGGGTGGCTGGGAGGATCTCCTCCGACTGATTGCGCGCGGCTATGCCTGGTGCGACGCCTGCGAGCAATCAAGGCTGGCGCTGGCGCGCGGCTCGTGGATGCCCAAACGACCGTCGGTCGGAAGGGCCTCGACCGGAACTCGGCCGTCCACCTCCGTCCCCGCGTTCCTCCTCCACGTTCAAGGCTCCTCTTGCCTGCCCCCTCCATCTCGCTCCCCCAAGCCTCCCTCCCTGCACGTCCCCCATCCCCTGCCCTGCCCCCCTCCCCCTCCTCTTCCCCCAGCTGCCCACCCGATCCCCCTCGCACGAATGGGCACGCTCGCGAGGGAGCGCGCCTGCAAGGTGGGCTTGGGAGGGAGCGGCGGAGGCAGAGGCGGAGAAGGGGGAGAGAGGGTTTTTGGGGGGGGGCCCGACGGCCCCATAGCAGAGCACGGCTGGCCTGGCAGGCTCCCTCCGCTGTGCAACCTGAAGCTTGCGGGGAATTATGGATCACGAGTTCCTTCTCGTCACCAGCCCCCGAGAAAGAAAGACAAAATAATGATGCATCACGCTGAAAAGCGGCACCAGCTCGCTCAACTGCGGCTGCAAAGCGGCGCGCTGGACCGAGAGTGGGTATACAGCCAGACCAAGTACATAATAACATCCTTCAAGAGCATGAGACCCTGCGCTGGCCAAACACCCCAACCCGTAAGATCACCGAGGATACCCCTCCCCCAGGATGCAAACGAGCATCCAACAAACGCGCAGAACATCAGGGCACCCTCCCCGAGCCGACCTCGGTCTCATGCCTCGGGCCTACCGCAGTGGGTATGCTTCAAAGACGAGGTCGCGACCGCGGCGGCTCTCAAACGGCGCGGCTCCGGGTCTTCGCAGGTCATGCTACGCAGATCGCCCCGCTTCCCCGTGCGAACGCCCCGCCCGCGCTGGCAGGCGCGCGTAGATCAAGGGGCCTAGGGACACGCAAATGAATACACACAAATCCCAAGATTCCCCTTTTTTCTGGGGAATCGACGATTAATTGTGTCTGTGTTTTCTGCCCCTCCTGAGTAGATGCTGGGATTCCAGGAGCACTCGCTGGAATGACAGGGCAGGCGGCACAGAGAGCAGAGAAGAGCCCCACAGGGGAGCAAGGCGGCGCCCGAAAGGCACGCGCATGTGCCGCGGAACGGCACGTCTGTCCCGTCCCGGCCCGCAGGAGTCTTGAGGACAAGCCGGCGCCCAAGCTGCATGAGGAGGGGGTGGAGGGAAGGATGCGACGGGTCCCGGATGCGCCGGACACCGACGCAGCAAGAGGGAGGGGCACCAGGTCCTGAACGGGGGGGGGAGGGGGCATCGGAGAGGCAGGGCATGGTAGGGCTGCCTGCCGCGGGGGCAGACCCTGAGACTCCTGCGTCAACCACGCCGACGCGCGAGCACAGAACAAGCCTTACACTTGGACGCCCGAAATGCGTATGAGCAAATGGCTACGATACCCCCATGTCCAAAGCCGAGAGCGGGTTGACAGACGAGCTTGTGTTTCAAATGGAAAACGTCTGCGGCGACGCCGACAGCGAGTCCTCTTCAAAACGAACAGCAACTGCTGTCGAGCTTCGTAAACATTCTCTCCGTACCCATTTTGGTCGTACCGACCTGAGACTGCTGCGTCAACCACGCCGGCGCGCGAGCGCAGAAAAGCCTCAACACAAAGGCAAATACGCAGAGGCATGAGAGGGAGGCCGGCAGAGCGCCTCGGCCGTCAGGCTGAAATGCCGAAATGGGGATGTACCCAGCGCGGCTGCGTGTCTCCGCGAGTGCGGGGGAGGAGAACGCGTGGAATTTTGGTGCTGCGTATGGGACGCCGAAGGGCATACTGTAGAGGCTTCCATGTTGGGGTCCGAGTACGTAGATGGGGTCAGGGGATTGCACCAGATTGTCGATGTATCGCCGATGCGTCGGCGATGCATCGGCGACGTCGGCGTGGCGAAATAGGGCTCCGCATCGAGCCGCATCGCCGACGCATCGGCGATGCGGCTCGATCCTCCGACCCCGTCTGCTCGGACCCCACCTGGGAGGCCTGTAGATACCGGTGCTGTGCCCCCCCTCTGGAGGCGTACGTCCGAGCCGAGTAGAGGGTGCACAGGCATGTCGTACAGTGGATGCCAGCCCACAAGAGGCCTTCCACAGGGAACCCAACCCTGAGACTCCAGGACGTCCCTGGATTTTTGGTGCGGGAACGTCACGCTCCCCATCGCAAAACCATCGAAACCCAAGAAACCCAGGGCACCCGGAGGCAAGCAGTGTGCTTCTTGGCATGGGCCTCCACTGTATCGTTACCAAGGCGACGTGGCCATAAAACGCCCGCCACCGAGCATGCACTACAGGACGCCTGCGCACGCGCCGTCCCTGCGGGCCGAGGTACACATCGTACAGTCGGACCCTTGGATAGGAAAACATCCTTCCAGAACATGCGGCCCTCCGCCAACCCAAACCCAAGAACATGTTCGAGGGTGCCCCCCCAGGATGCACAAGAACATACAGCCAGCACGAAGAACACGAGGGTACCATCCCCGAACCGACCTCGATCTTTTACTTCGGCCCGATTGTCGCGTGAGACCCCCCGCCGACCCAAACACCCCAAACCAGAAGATCAACGACGGTACCCTTCCCTAGGACGCACAAGAACGTACGACAAGCACGAAGAACACTAGGGTACTCTCCCCGAGCCGACCTCGGTTTTGTACTTCAGTCCGACCGTACGCGCACGCAAATTAAAGACACGAAACGCCAACCACACGCTGCAGGTATGGGATGGGCTTTGCCAGGTTAGGTATAACTGCTGCAGGAGTCGGCAGTTCTACCTCGTAATGGCTGCACTGGCAACGCATCGCGCGCTGCTGCCACGGCTGTTGGCGACAGAACGGAAGCCATTGCATCGAGGCAGACTTCGCGAGAACAGAAGTCAGCACAAGTGGCACAACAGCATCCACTAAGTTGGCCGCGCCAGAACCCATCAAAGTAGCACGCGATTCCAACGCAGATGGCCATGGCAATCGAACACATCCCGCCACCTGGCCCCAGAATCTCTGGGCTTAGCTACCGTCCGTCGGGCATACAAAACCAACTACTGGGCCTTGCGCCTGGCTGCTTTCCGAGGCGCTGCTCTCATTCACCGTGGGCATCGGACAAGATGGCTGCGCGCGTGACAACTGACGCTGTCGCGGCCGCTGCGCTGGCAGAGTCGCTCAGGTTGCTGCCGAGCCTGGCTATTTTTTGTCGGGGAACACGCACATGCAGAAGCAAGCAACACAGTACCAGGGAGAGGACAGGAGAGCGGTCCTTGAGAGCAATGCTGCGGATACAGGGGGCGTCCCAAGGATGTGGGGAAAAGGCAAAGAGGTGAGCAAGGAGACGCCAGGAAAACAACCGTTGACCAAATGCAGTACCCCAATGACTTGAAGCCCTTGAGGCTCAGAGTCGCATCGCGGGTGGCTGGCATGCGAGAGAGCACCACTGCTTTTTTTGTTTGCAGACGTGCATTGCGAACGCTGGATGGTAGGCTGTTGTGCCGCAGTCTGCGGCTAAATCTTCTGAAGAGGTTGCCGTTGCTACTGGTCCTGTAGCAAAAGCTGGCATGGCAATCTGGGCCTGTGACCAGGGTGGGCGACCCGCTTTCACCGCATCCTGCTCCTGGTGCGGCATGCCACGGCCTCTCGCCGCAGCCACGCCCCGAGACACTCCCTCTCAAAGGTCCTAAGCTCGTTGTTTAAAAGGAAATGAAGGAATGGGGGGAGAGGGAGGGAGGGAGGGGGGGGAGGAAGGGGAGGAATGACGAGAAGGAGGAGGGGGAGGAGGAGGGCGAGGGAGGGAGGGAGAGAGGCGGGAGGGAGGGAGGGAGGGCGGGAGGCAGGGAGGGAGGGAAGGGAGGGAGGACGAGGAGGCAGAGGAGGGAGGAGGAGGAGGAGGAGGAGGGCGAGGAGGAGGAGGAGCAGCAGCAGCGAGCACATGAAGCGACGCGCCGAATCGAGATGATGGACGGGCAAGACGACTTGGAAAGGGTGATAAGCACAATCGCACACATAACGACGAGGGCATACCCTGCATTAGCCCAGCAAAACATCACGGCCACAGGGCACACGCTCACTCACCAACCAGAGGCCTGGCCAGGAGCAGCGCAGGAACTGGAGGGCAAAACCTTGAGCAAACACGTGCAACGCACCGACGAACAATCACAAGGCAATGCACTACACGCGGGAAGGTAACATAACGAGTTATGAATGTGTGTTAGATCCTGATGCAACCCCAACCACTGCGCCGCAGGATCGGGAACCTGAAGCCTACGGGGCGTGGGGATGGGGTGCTTTCTGCCTTTGCTGGGATGACGACCCGACGCGAAGTTATCTCTGCGCCACCTCCGCTGTGGATTGGCCACGAGGGCCTGAGGCTCGCAGGCTCCGAACAAATCAGAACGGGCGGCCTTCGCAGAGAACGAACCACACCTCGTGCAACCTATGATCTCCCCCGCCCTGCACAGAATGTGACCCCTGGCCGCCTTGGGCGGCGCGAGCGCTGCCCCATCCGAAGGGGGCGCCGCGCTGGAAGGGGCAGCCGTGGCTCTGCTCGGGGCCGCCGACAGGCGGGAGCGCTTCTTCGAGCCATCCAGGGCGGACGCCGCCTCGCGGACCACCCCCTGGGGGCGCGGCTCTAGCCGAACCCGAGGCTTCACCTGCCTCGCGAAAGGCTCCGCCAACTCCCCTATATCGGCCTGGCCTGGCCCCTGGGCGCCTGG